CCTCCTCTCTCTCTCTCTCTCTCTCTCTCGAAATAATCTAAAATCTCGCAATATCATCGAGTATACAAAATTTTGTCTCCACGCTCGTTGCTCGTCTCTCCCAACATTTTCAATTAATCTTATCGATTCTTTTCGGATCGATCCTCGCGCGGATCGCTTTCGTTCAAGACGGCATCGCTCGAAATACACTTACGTATACACGTAGACGTGTATGGAGGGTTGTGAGGTTGGATAGGTGCACGTAGATAGGTAAGTATCCGCGGGGTAAGTTTTTCCAGGCGATCTGCTCTCCGGATTCAGATCAATACCCGCCATCTGGGCCTTGGATACGGTGGAAAAGGAGACGGTGGATGGAGAGGCTCGAGAGAGTGTGAGAGGGAGAAGACAGAGCAAGAGAAGGTGGAGGAGTCGCTCGAGCAACAAGCCACCGCCGCACCCTCCTTCCTGCAATCCTAGAACGCATCGAAAACCTCGGCCAGAAAGCAATTCCTACATACGCCCACGTTTCACGCTGCCGTGGCTATCGACGTAGCAAAAAGAAACGGAGATATGCGCGCGACCCAAAGTTACCCGGCCGCTTTCCTTTTCACCCATCGTTTTCGAGTTATTGCGCGTCGACGAGAAGGTGGCGGGCCATATTTCACACCGAAATCATTTACATCTCCGGCAAATTTGATCTCGAAAATGGTTATCTGCTATGGCGTCTACACGATCTATATCATTTTGGATTTTTTTTTCATTTTTAAGAGTAAATTTTCTAATTTGTCTTTATCAAAAGAATCTTTCAATTATTCGCGTAACCACGATTTAAAAAATGCACCGTTTCGTTTAATTTTATCCGTGAATGATTATTACGATACGATCAAAAATATCGAAGACCAAGATAAACGCTCCTCTCACTCTCTCTCTCTCGATTCCTTACGAATGGAGCGGCTAATTTGCGTGCGTTTCCATTAACGGCCGTGGCCGGAAATCGCGTTAGTGGATTTCACTCGCGCCATCCAATTCGATCCGCATTACGCTCGATTACATTATCAGCGGCGTGCTCGAGATCGAGAGTAGAGGAAGGACGAAGCATCGGAGGGACGAGATAAGGTCTTAAGTAGCGACTGATTAAATCTCGGGGCATATGTGTGCCGATCAATGGTACCCCAGTGGTCTCCTTTCCAACCTCCTCCTCCAACCAGGTTGCACGAAAAAGGGGATCCTCCTCCGCTCGTTCGTAGTTTGCGCGGTGCTGATACGCTGTAATACCGTCCCACGGGGGCTCACTCCCCTTTGAATACTCTCTCTCTCGTGTTTCCTGGCCACCCCGTTCCATCGAAATCGCTCGATCTACCGGGCGACGTAAAAACACTTGAATTAATCGGCCCCCATTCCCGAAGGAACCTGCGAAAGGTCAATAGGATCGGGGTGCACGCGCTTATCTCGATTCACGGGGCCAAGGGGGACGATTGTTGCTCGTCTCGTCGTCGGATAACTAATCGGTCCCATTGGCGATCGGGCATATGCTGTTCGCGCCCCTCCTCCCTCGCTCTTCTTTCTTCGATAAATTTCTTCGATTGCTGGTCGATAAGGGGCGAGAACTCGAAGGGATTACTTGGTTGGACGATTGATAAAAAGTTTGGATCTTTTTTTTTTTTTTTGGTACTCGAGAAGAGGAGGAAGGAAAAGTGTATCCGCCAGGACGAGTATGATATTGATATAAATAATGATGGAATCATTAGGAAATGGAGCATAGCTATAGTTTTCATATGTTATTCCGTATATTCTGTGTATCGTTAATTTTCAAGTGAAAAAAGTGAGAAATCAAAACTCCACGATTCTTATTATCATGCATAAAAATTCCATTTGCATGGAATAACTTGTTGCTCGTTTTTATTTTTCAGCGATATCTTTTAGTCGTTTTAATACGATTGATTCTCGACGACGATTCAATTGAATAATTGCCAACATTCAAATACGAATATCCTTTTAAAAGAGCATGAGTAAAATAATTATATAATTGCCACGATACTTTTTGTAAACAGCGTTATAAAAATTTAACAGCGTGATAAAAATAACGCTCTCAATTATCTGCGCTCTGTATTTCGCTCTCAATTACGAAAAATAATTATTAATATTTACTCACCGGTTGATCGAGGAGACGGATGGCACGTTGTCCTGCGAGCAAATGCCTTCGGCGAGCAATCGGTCCCTGATCTCCCACGCAAACATGGTTGGATTGTCCCTCTTGTAATTAGCGATCGCTTCCACGACCGGTGGCGTCGCCACCTTCGGCTTCGAGCCGCCTATTACCCCAGCCTTGAAGCTACCAGTTTCATAATACCTGTGAATACAACGAAATAAAAGAAACCGATATCACCATTTCCCCCCATTTTTATTCTCACTCTGGATAATTTCGAAACTTTTCAAAATCCTTGGAAGATAAGTCAACTAACAATGTATATATTGCTTCTGGATGTAATAATACAGATCTGATGCTTTGTTTAAGAGCAATTTTCATTTCAATCGACAACGAGTGTCTCAAAAAAATAATAATTCCATTTCTCTATAAATTTCAATTATCGGTAAAAAGTTTTATCCAACATTCTTACAAGCAAACGTTGTTGCGTCGCACACGAATATTTTTACCAATTAACAACGTTTCACGAGCTAAGGGAGGAGAGCTAACACAAAAATTGATAGACAAGAGATTTTTGACTTTTCAAGATTCAAGACAATTTATATTATCTTTATCTCTGAAACGATCGTTCCCCCTCTTTTCCCTCTTCCTCCTCCTCCCCCCTTCCCTCCCCCCCCGCGGTCAGATGGGATGAAAAGGGACGGAGAGGGGGAACGATCGTTTTTCCCGCGACGTGCGGCCAACGTCGGAATAACGAATCGCCGTCCAGCGGCGCGTCAACGACCGGCTGTTTTAAAACAACGGCTTCTACCTCCCCGTCCTCCTTTCCCTCCCTCCCTCTCTCCCTCCCTCCCCTCTCCCTCTCTGCGCCTCTTCCTCCACCCCTCCTCCCCGGCCCACCCGTCGCGTGTATGCGCGCCGCGATGGCCAATCGCGATTGGCGGGCCGCCGTGAACGCGCCCTTTGTGCCTAATTAGTTAAATAATATCTTCGCTGGTGCTTAAATTCAATTACGGTAGAAAGCCCGCAATAATGGTCCGCTTGTGGGCCGCCTTGATGGATGTGGGTCCGCCGCCGGCGTCGACTCATGCCCGTTCAACTACTACGCGGCCAATTTTCCCTCCTCCCCCTCCACGCCCCTCCTCTCTCTCTCTCCTCTCTCTCTCTCTCTCTCTCTCT